TACATCCTGGTTTTAAGAAGCAACATTGTCTGCGGATTCGTTTATTCTTTAAAGGATAATGAATATTATTTCAGCTCGCTCTATTGAAATTTTTTGCCGACGTTTCCGTACGTGCCGGCGTTCCTCGACATGAAACTTAGACGTAATTTTCTGTCGGAATGCGCAGCGCTGCCCCACATTTAAGCCAATTTGTACGTCAAAAAGGAAAAAAGAGCAGCGGAAACTGCGCGTTCTGGCCCAATTTCGACGTTTTTCTCGTATTTTAAGGCCCTTTTTGCTCGTCATGCAATTATTCTTGTTACTCTGTTAGTAGAAAGTTGCTAGGAAAAGAATTTGTTACGCAAAGAGGAATGTGTGAAATATTTTCCTCCAGGTATACATAAGATATCTCCTAATGAAGTGGTATAGATAACATCTTGTCAAGTTTCTCGCTAATAAACTGAGTTTTTGGACAAGGTTAGTAGCAGTGGATCTGCCCTTAATGAAACCGTGTTGCTCACACGACAACAGCCCAGACAAGGATCTGTATAAAAAGTCATGTAATAGAATCTCAAATATTTTGGAGAAATTGCAAATAATAGAAATTGAGTTTTTGGACAAGGTTAGTAGCAGTGGATCTGCCCTTAATGAAACCGTGTTGCTCCCACGACAAGAGCCCAGACAAGGATCTGTATAAAAAGCTATGTAATAGAATCTCAAATATTTTGGAGAAATTGCAAATAATAGAAATTGGCTTGTAATTAACCAATTTATTCTTACTGCCCTTCTTGTGCACTGGACACACTCTAGATAGTTTCCAACATTCAGGATAACAAAAGGTTCGACAATGACTTTTACCCGGTTTTTTTATACGATTGTGAGAATAAGTCAGCAAAACTATTAAGTGTGGATCATCAAGAGTTCTCCAAACAATATGCAGTAACGTATTAGTTTTTTTACGTACATATTTTTTTACTTTTCCTATGCTATGTCGACCATACGACTGGAATGAAATTATTATTTATTTTAAAATCCTGTAATTTTTACAGTTTTCTTTAAATATGTTGATTTAAAATTGTCTGTTGTTCGATGTGATTCTTGTACATTATTAAAATACTATAAAATTACAGTTGAGGCATCTATAAAACAAGTAACGTTATCCATTCATTAATTAATTGCTGCTTTTGTAAAATTAATATAAACATCGCAGGATTCTATATAAAACGTTAATAAAATCATAAAAAAAGCGCTCTTGCCTCACGATTAATATCCATCTCATTAAAATTCATATTTAATAAAAAATATCGTTTTAACGAGCAACCAAAGACAAACACTGCATGTTTCTAAACAAAGACTCATTTATCGTATTGTATAAGGTTCGGTACCCGCTGCGTCCTCCCTTGGAGTCTGGCGAGGAGCTTGTTAATCATGTCCGAAATGTGGCCTGCTTAGCCAGAGGTCACTCCGATACTATTTATTCGTACCATTCGAACCGATCAAAAATAAAAGTGTTCCCAAGATTTACTCGCAGCCTTCGCTTATTTCAATAGGCCGGTTTGTCTTCGAGATGACAATTAAAAACGCGACAGCAGCCGTCATCAATTAACATCAGGATAACAGTAAAAAATAATTAGTTATTTGTACCGTCAAATGTCGTATATGAACGTGTTAGATTTTATGTAAAATATTTAGTTGAAACAAAAATAAACCAATTCTGCTAAATATTTTTTCGGTCGGTAGTCCCACAAATTTTAGAAAAAAAACTTAACTGTTCTTGTATCAAAGTCTTCATCGATGTTATTAACTGTTGACCCAAAATGAGAGCAATTAGAATCGTGGGCAAAGTCAATCTGCATCCAAGTGATCAAAACTACTGTTAGGTATGATAATTTCAGCCATCAACCGATCTGCTCTAATTTTACGAATCCTTAATTCAAAATTTTTACAGAACATGCGCATCAAATGTCGACTGTCTACATTTCTGGAATGTTTGGAAAGATACATTTCATCTTTGTAGATATAAACAGCCGTTTAGCATTTTTTTCCTCCTAAAAAACTTGTAATGTAACTTCCTTGACTTAATTTCCTGTTAATGAATTCCAATTAACGCTGCTCATTTAAATAGGTAATTATTAGAGGCCGAGGAGATGTGTCGGACATTTATTTGAGTGGTTACCCGACAAAATTAAAATTCTACATGTGTAGCGCCCAATGGGTACTAAAATAATCTTTGGAGCAATAAATTTATTAATAAAGTTTAAAAAATGCTACACTTTCAATGAATAGCTTCTGGAATGTAACTCTTCTGAATCTAGACTTCCTTGACGTTGGACGTTTGATCAATTGTTCCAGCGCCTACTAAGCAAGCAAAAGCTTTTATCGCTGGCCCAAGTTCTGTATATGGGTAGGCGTGTGAGCCATTTCCCGATTTTAAAATTATATAAAACGAGTTTGTCTGTCGGGTCTTAAGTCCGGCGAGCGGGTACTTCTCTTTCATTACCAATTAATCTGCTTTCATTAATACGTCTCTTAAGTAATGACATGTTAATTAATTTCTCGAATGTCGGCGTAATTGGCGACTCCACCTTTTGCACTTTGCACGGAATTTTATTACAAGTCCCGGTAATTAAATCGGCCCCTGAAAATTGATTCCGAAGTCGACCCGTGCAAAGGTATAGTGTGGCTACGCGAATTGTAACCCGAAAAAATCACGTAAGAACGTATTCATCTAAGATATCCATGTAAAGCATCAAAAAAGTTTATTGCAATAATGACATTTACGTCATATGACATGTGATTTATAGGTTACATCTCGACGATACTCAAAACTAGACAGTAGTGAACAATAATTTCTAATACGAATGTTTACAAGCCTAGAAAAAATTTTGTATCAAATGCATTAATAATAAGCATTTTTAATCACCAAAACTGTTAAAGCTTATTGGCAACCTCTGGAATCGTTGGAATAAAGCTGAGAAATTTTACACTTTCTGGATTCTTTACATCGTTCGGGTTTCGAAGACTACAGACCATTGTTTCGCCGAATCTGTCCCCACTGGCGTGACGTCACACTCGAAGTGATATAACCTAGACTGTAATAACGCAGAACCACCACGGCCTGCTTAATGCCCGCGACTATAAATTATGATTGACAAGTTGGAACTAAGTGATTAAATTTGAAGAGTCTAGTGCTCCAGAGACTTGACCTTGGTTGGGAAAAAAATAATGTATTCCTCTAACACCCCGTTGAGTTCCAAATGTTCAGCGTTTAACCGATGCCGTTCGAACAATAATTCAATGCCCGGGCCTGTCTAGAGTACGAATAGGAAGCTTCATTTACATTAAATTTACATTTGGAAAAAATGCTCGGTCTCGGGATGCGGTCGTATTTAACTTTTGACTGAATGTGTGTTCGGGTTAAATCAGCGTTTGATGTGTAATTGAATTTTTCTGTATCCTACAGAGGTGAAATACCTCTAAAATAACTGTGAAGCTTATTCTAGTTTTAAAAACTGCACAATCCGTGTCTATAAAACGAAGAGTTTGTTATAACGAGCGTTCAAATAAAAACGTGGTCAAGTTGGTTCTGAAAATTTGGACGTAGGACGTAGCGTATATCAAATGAACTTAAACGTCATCTGTCAAAACGCTATATCGCCGCTATCAATTTGAATATTTTCGTTTTAAAAAGCTTTTAAAATGGTGTTTTCTCAAGAACAAAAAGTGTTTATCATAGAGTCCTACTTTAGAAATGGACGCAAGATTGATGGAATATGGAAGTATTCTATTGAGGAATGTTTCATAGAATTTCAAAATCAATTTCCCGGCGTTGTTGAGTACAAAATTTTTCAAAGTGCAGTTCAGCGTTGTGTTAATGTTTTTCGTGAAACGGGCAGTGTAACAAGAAAAGAAGGAAGCGGCCGACCTAAAAAGCGGACTGAAGAATTAAAAGAAAATGTCCAACAAATAATGGAAAATGCGCCAAGAACTTCTGTACGTGTTTTATCACAAATGGTGGGAGTATCAGTCGGTACCTGCCACACAGTGTTAAAAAAAGATTTGCGTTTGTTCTCCTATCGTTTAACTTGTCAGCAAGAACTTCATGAAGTTGATTTTCCGCGACGGGCTGTATTTTGTGATTGGTTTTTAAACAACTACCGTGAACTTCATAATATCACCTTTTTTTCTGATGAGGCCTGGTTTCATTTAAGTGGTTACGTAAACTCGCAGAATATGAGAATGCGGTCTTCTGAAAAACCAGATAAACTTTTTTGTCGACGGCCCTCTACACGCTCAAAAAATTGGAGTTTGGTGTGCTCTCAATCGAAGGAGGTTTTATGGACCTATCTTTTTTAATGGTACTCTTACTGCGCAAAGGTATAGAGAAGAAATTATCGCTCCTTATTATATATGTTGGGGGAAGTTTTCCAAAATCGACTAATAAGTCTCAATGCTGAACATGAATTTCCACCGAGGTCATGTGATATTACGCCGTGTGATTTCTTTTTGTGGCCTTACCTTAAAAACACTATTTTTGAACTGCCTATTCCTGACTTAAACCATCTGCAGGCTCGACTTATAGACAAGATTCGTGAAATTAACAATACCCCGAGCATCTTAGAAAATGTCTTTAATTCTTTGAGGAACAGGTGTGAAAAGTGCTTGGAACAAGGAGGGGGACACTTTCAGCAGCTGCTTTAATTTATTGTTATAACAAGGAGGGGGACACTTTCCGCAGTTCCTTTAATTGTTTGTTATTGTTATCACGATTATTCTTTAAAATAAAGTTATATAGTCATTAACGTTATTGAAACTGACAGCTGCTATACAGCTCGTTGAGAAATGAGGTTAAGTTGGTCGCTATAAGCTACTCCCTACGTCCAATGTGTCAGAGCCAACTTCGACCACGTTTTTATTTGAACGTTCGTTATTTAGTTGTACTTTTAACATTTTTTACTCTGTTTTAACACTCTGTTTAACATTTTACTTTCAAAGTTACTATATCGTACTTTTTGTTTCAGGTGAGTCCCATTTTGTTAACAAGAAGAAAATCTTCAGAAAATTCAGTTTGATCAAAAGTGTAAGTTCTAACAACTTTTGTTATCACCATTATGTTTAGATTTACAACTTTAACAAAAATTTCTGATATTTGTCTTTGGATTGAACATATTCTGTATTAAGGTTGTGATTTAATGCCAATAAAACTCATAGCCACCAGTACATCGCTCTTGTGTTTTAGTGATACATGCAAGTACCAAACTTTGCGAGTGCCTTCTTTATAACGAGTCCGACAAACTCTTTGACTTAGCGTCAGAAAGACAATTCCCGGAATTGAACATTTTCGAAGAGGAAAAGTTTGTCGGACTCGTTATAAAGAAGGCACTCGCAAAGTTTCACACTTGTGTGTATCACAAAAACGTAAGAGCGATGTACTGGGGACTATCACTGTGTAACCTTCACAAAGTCAAAGAAATCCGAATGAAATCGTATTTTTGTGGAATAGAATATAATGTAAAACGAAAAAAATTATCACCGCAGAACTCTGTATGATGATTTTTCTTTGAAGAAAAAGTGTTTCAGACCGGAAAAAATGAATATCTCGGAAAATTGTGGTTATTTGAGACACAGAAAGGTATACTTTCATCAAGTTTCGTCAAAATTAAATTATTTTTGTGGAAATAAACTAATAATAATTTTGTGTGAAATAAAAAACGAAATATCAGAAAAAAACTGTTTTTGGCATTTTTCTCGGAAATTTTGAGGTTATGTTAAAAAGTAACCTCTACAAAAGTTGTAGATTTTCTTTTTTTTCCTCTAAATAAGTTAGTTCGATCGGTCTATAGGATATAAACGCACTGCTGTGAAAATAGCTTTCAGTATTAATAAGATCCGCAGCGTTAGTGTCGAAAAATTTTTTCGTTTCTCAATGACGTTTCCGAGGGCAACACGGAAAATACATCGCGCTACACTGTGTAGGTATTTTGAATGTAACATGTGAACGGTCCAAAGACTTGTCCAAATAACTTGTCCTCGACGGGGGGTAAACTGTTTCAGCCGAAATTTATTTACAAGTAAATTCTAGTTATTGTACAATCTGAATATTTTTATTACGGATTTCGGTGACTGGTAGAACATTAATGGTTTTAATTCAGCGCCCGAACGAGAATTATTATTTGGAGAAGTTTCAATAAAAGCCCCGGATAATTACAAATTAAACCGTTTATTTATTTGACAGTCGGTCTATTTGCATAACGCGAATTGTGGGGTATTGGCCTCACTTTTGAGATACTCGATCGTTGCGCGAGATAAGCGCCGATATTTCGGTGGTTTTGGGGCATTCCAGGGCTACTACGCAACGGTAACCGAATTTATACACGTCAGCGTGACAGATATTCTCCATATTTCAAGTTAGACCTTGCAAAGTGTAACCGATTGCTTGTGGTTCGGATTTATGTGATGTAAATGGGATAGATTTAGTGGCCCCTACTTCTGTCTAATCATGACTTTCTGTCCTATAAATGTTAATAAGAAGGTCATATTTTAAAATTAGTAATGTGTATACAGAATGTTGCAAAGAGCGTGGCACATAAATATGTATTTTTAGTCATTAATAACTCTTGAAAATGTCAATTTCAGGACATTTAGCTATTTTGTTTCATACGAAGATAATATTTAAAAAAATATTGTAGTTTTTGCAACTATCAATAAGACATTTTGGCAAGCAAATCCATTTTCTAAAGTAAATACTTATACAAAACAAGCTACATTAAAGAAATCAAAACAACGCGATATTTGAGGTTAAATATACATATACTCGCCACACTTTTTTGTATAACACCCTTTATATAGGTCATTACACTTAAAATGTGCCCTATTCAGTCCCACTGGCGTGCATGAACTATTCCAATCGCATTTCAAACTTTGTCGCAACTGTAACTTTTCCAAGTCCGCTATCTCGGCTCGCTCGTAACGCGAGGCTCAAACTTCAGCAAATAAGAAGCGGTTCGGCGATAATTGCCCCGAATTATGGCTTACGGATGCATTTAAAGAACAAACACGCGCACCTCGTCGATGTGACTGCAGAAACCGCCGATATTTTTCGAGTAATTAGCCCTCGCCCGACCAATCGCAAGTAATCCTCAGCCTGGGCCTACGCCACTGGCTCGGAAAGCCACCAAATGAGTTTATCTGACAAGGTATCTTCCGTACGCGGCCGCAATTACTCTAACTTGGGCCCTTAGGTGGTGGAGGACGGCCTCAGCGGGCCACGAGAGCGCCAGACGAGGACGCCGAATCATTTCATAGTCTATAAGGCGGCGGGGCGGAGTCACAATTTTTAAAACATTTTTAAAATAAGACCATTGCGCCAATAAGATCCGCATGAATATCAAAATATGCATCGATATACATGGATGGCATGCCTGATTTATTAAGACTGACAAGGAGGTGCATTAAGGCCGTTCTGAAATTTGTCTTGAGGGGGACTGAATAGCGATCTTAAATATTTATAAAAAATTAACATTTATTACGGCAGCGTTTTTGCGGCGTTGGCCTTTTTTTAATCGACGACATGTTTATGGTCGAAAAAGAAAACGTTTGTTTCAAACCAAAAAAAAATATATCTACAGGGTGTTCCGTTTAGAAGTATCCAACCCGGTATCTCAAAAACTAAGAGAGTATAATTTTTCGGTAATAGTCACCTCGAAAAGTGATGTAACAAACGCGTAGTAATTTATTTGTTAGTTCTCAGAATGGATGGGACAAAAAGTGAAATATTTCAGTCGACACTAATTTTATCGAAAAGTTAAGAGTCTTCAAGTAGGTAGGCCGTCCTTCGGAGAAGGCTTCATGAAATTTATTATTTTTGAACAAGTTCACTTAGACTGTCGGGGCCATGTGTTGAGCATCTGGTATAAAGAGAAAAAATCGATATTTCAAATAACGCGCGAAATGCATTCCAAAGAACGTAGGAATTCCAAGAATAAGTTGTTAGAAGTTGTTAGAAAAATAATAATAGATGAAATAGCTGGTTTTTAGGCGGATTTTCCCAGTTATAAGAATAGATTAAATGAGATTGACTAATCCGTCCCGTATTACTACACGGAGTCGCTAGAGGAAGGCTAGGGTTGCTTGTAAGTCCAGTTAGTCACAGAATTATTTATGTAAATGTAAAAATCAGTCAATTAGATAACGATTAACATGGCATAGTTATGCCAAAGCGTCCCGATATTCAGGGTTCCCGCTAGTAAGATAAGAACAGAAACGTCTGGACCCAAGAAATGGGCGTGTCGAAGCGAGGTGTCGAATTCAGGAGAGATCTCCGAAAAAACATGCAGTTCTTCCTTGGGTTCCACATTGAGCGGTCTACTTAGTTTTAGAGTCTCGGTTTAATTTAATAATTCCAAAACTTCATGTTTTGGTATAGTTATTCAAATAACCTACTTAGATATCTGGTATCGAATAACATAGTTTGACTTTTGATAACGTTAAAAAAAGAATTTGTTTGAATTAGTTTAATACTAAGATTTGTGTGTTGGAAGGTGCAGCAATTACTGTTATGTAGACGCCATCTAATTATTTCCTCGAACAGACAAAGTTACTTAAATCAGAACCATCTTCACCGATTTTGAAACTGTAACGTCGACCACAAATAAATAAAATTTCTTACCGCAATTTGCGACAGTAAAAATAACTTGGCTGTAGAGTGAAAGTATATCTATTAAAATATCGTAAATTCGCGTGGATACGCTTTGAGAACCGTTAATCTGTCGATAATTAAATTCAATCGTGCCGTTCTTTTGTTAACACCTCCGTCATTAGACAAAAGGCGATTTATATAACGCGGAATTCTATATTTTTTTATTTGTGAGAAGGGTACTATTAATACAACTCGAAAATATCCGTTCTCGGACATATCTCATGCTTAATTGCCGGCAATATAACCACTCTTGTAACGGTGGCTTCTACCGAATTCCTGGCATCGCGGACATAGCGAGGGAGAACTCCTCGAATATAATTAATAATAAATCAAGGGGAACAAATAACGGCGTGAGTTCGTGGTTTATTTTTGGGCGCGATGTGGAAATGATTTTAATGTTGATAATATTTTATCGACGAAATGTATTTTTTAATCAACGGGTACCCCCTGAGGCTAACTCTCGGTTGTACTCCATTGGATGTCTCTCTGTACGGGTAAGGCCGTTTCGTGAGGTGTCGTGGATGCGATTGTGGAAAAAAATGTTCGTGGGGAACGGGGAACAATGACTGTGTACACAGTGTTTTGGAAGAATGAGTTGTGTTTAGGAGACATTTCAATTTGGGTTCAGTTTGTGTCGTGAGTCAATTAAATTGATTCCAACATTTATAAGAGTTGATGTCGAGGTTTTTGAAGTCCGAGGGCATTCTAATTTTGGTAAAAAAACTTTAAAGTATAATAAAACAACACACCTACTCTCATTAAAATCGGTTCTATAGTTTTCGCAAAATAAATTTTTGAAAAAATTTTGAAAAAAAATTTCGGATTTTCAAAATGTTGCACAGCCTCAAATAAAGCATCTAGATACTTGAAAATAATTTCACATAGAAAAGACCGCTCAACCTTTCAAATGGTTTTGAAAAATTGAAATTGGTTGAGGACGGCATTAATTTTATATAACAGATTATTTTTTGTAGTAGGCCAATTCCAACTTAGATCCTGTCTTGCAGATGACAACAAATTCATGCGAACTATTTTTATTCGTTCTAGATCCCATTGTGCAAGGTTAAAAATCCGACCGGTCATAATACGATATTTATACATGTAATATATAATACAATTCCTCTATTATCATATTTCAGATATTCATAATATTGTCACTGTTAATATTATACATGTATTCTTACCGAGGAGGCGTTCTCGAAGTGCCACTTTTTCGGAATATAAATTTATTGTAATCGCATCACCATCTGTACATTTTAAAGTCAGAGTGAAAGATGAACTGACTGGCAACTGCGACGCGACTGGACCTCGATAACAATGTACATAGAGAGAAATGTATGTATGTAATATTTTGCTCCACTCTGATACCAAAAATTGTTACTAAAGTTGGAC